CCCGTCTGCCCCGCTTCCTGCCGCCGCGTCGCCCCCGCGGGCTGCGCTCCCTGGAGCGTGTCTCCCTGGGACTGCAGCTCCCGCCAGGCCGTGGGCCTCGGCCCTGCCCAGGACAATCTGGGATGCCTCGTTCCTCCTGCCTCCAAAAAACCCCAGCCCCTTTTCTCTTCTCACTTCATCCCCCACATCACAACAGTACAGCAAATTCATGTGGCTACCATCAAAATGGGAACCACCCCGTTTCAAACAACCTGGCAATAAAAGGCAGCCGATTGCTGTGCCCGCAGCAGCCCCCGCACGGCCTCTCTGAGGGCAATTTGGGCCCCAGAAGGGGGCTTGCAGAGGGGCAGGGCTGGGACTCCACAGGCTCCCTCTGCCCCTGAGCATCCCGACTCCTTCCTCAGGGTTGCTGAGAGCATGGGAACACCAGGAGGCCTCCAGCTCAGCTCCACGGGGCTCCCGGGACAGCAAGCGGGGTGTTATCCATCTCCAGAAAGGCAACGGCAAAAATCCTCAACCCTTCCTGCTGGGCTGTTGCTAATAATGAAGTGCGTGGTGGAGGAATGGAGCCGAGCGACCTCCAAGTCACATTCAGGGCTATAAAAGGAAGCTGGGCCTCCAGCATGGCTCCTCTTCCACAAAAGCAACCAGAGGATGAGGGGGCTGCGAGCAGAGCTGAGAAATAGCTGCCAGGCAGCAGGAGAGGAGCCTTTAAGCGCTGAGCGAAGTGCAAGGTGCACATATGCTCTCTGTTGCTGCACATCTACGTCTTCATGAAACCTGCCCGAAATTGTGTCATCTATTTTGAACGGCGCAGAGAAATACTTTGATCTCCCTCCGCCAGCCCTGGCTGCGGTTCAGGCACCGGTAAGTGGCTGGCATACAAGTGGCCAATCCCAAAACCCGCATGATACAGAGACAGGAGGAGGCTGCTGGGCCAACATCTCCCTCTGGCTGACCACAACGAGGGATATGACAGGTCCTAGGAACCAGTGCACCATGTGTCCAAGCCCACGTGCGGCCTTTGTGCCAGACACCAGTGCTGCTCTGGGGCTGCCGAGCTGGAGAGGCCGTTGGGAGCTCTTGGGCAGCGCGTCCCCACGTCACCCCAGGGCGAGGATGGGCCTCGAGCTAGGGAGGGCACTGCCTGCACCTTGGATGATGCAAACACGGCTGGATCCTCACCACCCTCAACCGCTGCCTTGACGCCTTCCTGGGGAAGCAGCCCCCCTCCCACCCCAGTCCACAGGGGTCCAGACTCCTCACCCAGCTCTGGAGCAGCACAGAGAGCAGATGGCACCAGATCTCTCCAGATGCCACATCCTGCTGCCCCTACATGGTACACGACCCCCACACTTGGCTCTGATGCTTTTGCCCCCCTCATTTCAACGCTCCTCCCTGGAGACACCACGTCCCTAGGGCTGCTCATCTTCCCAGGATGGCGACAGCTTCTGTCTGGGGACATTTGCAGGCACCCAGCAAAGCAATCACTCTGGGAAGCGCCAGGCAGTGGACAAGGACAGAAGAGGATCAGGAAACATGGAGGGCCTAGTGCCAGCGCCTGCGACAGGGCTGAACAGAGTGGTACCAGCTGCTCAGCTGGGTCTGCCCAGCTTGAGAAGGCAGCACTACCCAAAACAGGTGCCAAGACCCCAGAGCCAGCATGCTGCAGTCCCACACGTGGCACCATCTGTGAGCCAGCCCAAGCACCCCCGGAGCAGCACAGCACCATTTCAACCAGCAGCCCGAGCAGGCAGCCAGGCCAGGCTGGTGGTGGAGGTCAGGAACTCGGCGCTGTCAGGGATCTCCCTTGAGCCGGCAGGCATTTCTGCTACCCCTCAGCAGATCAGGGAGAGCAGCAAGATCCCAGAGGTCACAGGGCCTGTGCACTCCCAGCAGGATCAGGCATGAAGTGGGAGTTGCTTTGCACCAGTTGCTCCCACAAGGGGCTTGAGAGCCAGGTCCTGAGGAGGGCACGTGGCCCCCTGCCTAGATCTACACATCCCACTTCCCAGCAAGCCGTGCTGGTGTGGCAGATTTCTACCAAACCCAAACTGGCGGCCTCCCCATTCAGACTTTCTCAGCTTCCCCATCTCCCGAGCACCTAGAGGACCTTCACCTCCTCCTCCTCCTGTCTCCTGTCCCAGGCCGCTCTCCCAACAACAGCACCGGTGCTTCCGCAGCCTCCAGTGGCTTGCTCTTGCTCTGACAGCAGCAGGTCCCCAACTCACCACATGGGTTGGGCTCCTGGGGACCCACAGTTTGCAAGGTGCATCTGCCAGGTCACCTCCTGCTCACCAGCACTCCAAGACTGACACAGTCCTTTGCCCAGACAACTTCCCTGAGCTGTTCACTGACCCAGGCAAGCCACATCCACAGTGGGTGGCTTGAGCCCACAGAGTCCCCTCAGGCCCCGCCAGCAGCAGGGGGACCAGCACTGTGATACCCTCAGCAAGTAAATGGCCTGTGCACTGCTGGAAGGGGCAGCCCAGGCCCTTGTCCTGCCACAACATAGGAGAAACCAGCCTAGAAGTGAGATGGGGCTGGGCAGCTGGAGCGAGCAGGGGAGATCTGCATCCAAAGCCATTCCCACCTCCAAAGGGAGCACCCCAGCTCCTGCCTCACCTGAGGAAGCTCTTGTTCCCTCAACTCAGGCAGTTTAGGGGCAACTGTCCCAATTCCTGCACTTCACCTCACCAGCAGTGCGGTGAGCCTGGCAAGCAGTGCTTCCCAGGACACCATACAGGGACAGGGCAGATCCCAGCTCCCCTCAGTGCTTCTGGAGGGACATCAAGTTCTCCAACCTTGCCAAGAAGCCTGAGGCAGCATGTACCACAGAACACAGATAAAGAAGGGAGCAGCTCAGCCAGAACTTTCCTCCTTACTCCACAGAGAAAAGTCCTGGACTACCTCAAGTGCTGACACCCAGCAGAGCTGCAGACACTGGGGCTCAGGGCTCAACCTCAACCACTTCCTGCAACAAAGGGACCACAGCACAGCCCTAGGGGTAACCTGGCAGCTGAAATGCAGACACCATCTCACTTGGAGTCCGTTTCAGACTGGCTGGGCCTCTGACCCAGAGCAGATTGCCTGTCCTGACAGAGCACAGCCAGGGCCAAGCCAGGACCAGGCGTGCTGAAGCCAGTGAGGTGAAGGCATCAGGAAAAAGGAGCAGCGCAGCGCGGGCTGTGGCACTCACAGCCCACAGGTGCCCTGATAGTTCTTTTATTGTCCTCTGAGCTGGGTGGCAGCTCAGCCATGTCTGGTGCAGGAAAACTGTCTCCTGCACCTGCCCTGGGAGGCAGCACCAGCGTCCGCAGCACCGCTGCCTAGTCCCGCTCTCAGCCTCTTCTGCTGGTCCCAGCAAAGCCTGGTTCTTGGCCTTTTCCTCTGTGTCTTGCCAGCACCACCATGCTTGTCCACTGCAAAAATCCTGCTGGCTCCCAGCAGCTCAGCAGCAGCCTCGGCATCTTGGCACAAGCACGGCACATGGGAGGCAGGCTCAGCCAAACGTGCACCACGGGGTCTCGCTTGCGTCACACTCCAGCAAGATATTAAGGACAGTGCAAGGGGCTCCTGCCACACTCAGAGCTGTCCGTGACTCGATTCGGTACCTCACGTTGTTCAGACCTCCCTCCCGATCCACCTTAAACTGCTCCTGAGGAAGAGAAAGACCATTCAGCCCATGCTGGCTTCCAGCAGAGGGGGAACACGCAGTACCTGGGGAAGGAGCACAGAGCTGCCAGGGGAGGACACAAGCAAGGAGGGCTCACAGCATGTGGAGATCATAACCCAAACCTCCCATGGTTCCTGTTGACCTCACTGAGGTCTCACCTGCTTCTGTGCAGCAATGCGCTTCTGGTCTCTCTTCCTCCAGGCTGGGTCATGCAGGTGCTGGAAAGTCTCGTATCCTGTTGTGATTCCAGAGGGACGGCGAACCTGGAAGGAGAGAAAGCTCCTATAAAGCTACTGGAAAACTTGCTGCACCTGCTACTGCAGTGGGGAGTGCAGAAGGGATGTCTTCCCCAGGTCATGAACTGGGTGGTTACAGGCAGGGGCCATGTGGGAAGACAAGAAGGGCAGTTTCAACCTAGGAGACCACCGAGCACCCCTTACCTGGAGACCAGCTCCTTTGATACGTCGATAAAACTCATCATCCTCCCGTCCCCAGCCCCAGAAGCGGTTGGACATGCCATTGCACTGGAACAAGACAAGCACCATACTGTCTGAGGTCTGGTTCAGCATAACTCCATGTGCCACAGAGGAGCAGACACCAGCATAACAAGCCCTGAGTACCTGTGCAGCCTCCTCCCTCCTGCCCCCACCAGCTCATACCGCAGGCTCTATCCCCAAAGCATTTTGGCTCCTTTCCCCCCTTCCTGGGTGCAGAGCACAAAACGAACAACTGTTCACCAAGACAACGTCGTAGCCTCTGCCCCAAACTGGCCAGGGCGTCCCAGGCGCACACTCTCACCAACTCATAGTGCTGCTTGGTGAGCAGCAGTATGCCGCCCACGTAGGTCTTGTAGTGGTAGAGCGGGTGCAGCTCTGGAGATGCCACGTGGAAGGGCCCTGCCTCCGGGAAGCTGTAGTCCAGCTGCTCGTTGAGAGGCAGGAGATCGACGTCATGCATCGCGATGTAGTCGGTGTCATTGCCGCTCTCCAGGAAGCCCACGTTGATCAGAGACGCCCTGTTAAACCTGCCGTGGGAGCAGGGACTCTCAGCACTACGCAAGGCAGTCACCGTCCCTTCACGTCCCTCTCCTGTGCTCCTCGGTGCTAAACGTGCGTGTGGTCCCCAAATGGGGACACACAAAAGCACGGCATTCCCTCCCTCTGCAGAACTGGGTGCCACAGCTGCCCCCCTGAAACC